TCCATTCACTCCCATCCCAGAGCAAAAAAGTATGGAAGCTGCCTCACCACAAGCAGATAAGCCCAAGTCTAGTCAATTTCTATGCAGTGATATGGACTATGTCAAAGTGTATTTATAGCCTGTGTGGTACTAGTCTGTATTCTAAACACTGCCACTTTTACTTTTCATTTTTAAACATGTTTTAAGGCTAAAAAGATTCAGTTAAAACCAAAATAACATGCAATTCCTATTCCAGACAAGTCTGTTGAAGACATCATAGAGCAAACTTCTAGTTTCCAATTAATTACCTTTTTAAATTTATGTAGTCAAGTCTTATCCCTTGGCTGCATCCTAAGAAACCTGTTCCACACCAGGGAGAAAACACAGCCACCCTCCTTGTTTACTTTCTTTATGCCTTAGAATGTGTGAGTTTCTAAATGGTTTAAAGCCTTGTTCTGGGGGGGAAAATGAGGTATAATCGGCAAAGACTTAGAATGTTCTCTCAATTTTCTTATTTGTAATTCTTCTAAATGGGATAAGAGGAACAGTATTGTGGGATGCAAGACAAGAGCACAGTGTCCAAGCAAACCTCCTGGTTTAATCAAGTGGCTGAAGCTACAGAAGAGTCCCCCTGACTCTGGAAGGCCACACCCAGGTTTTAGGAGTAAAAGAGAATAATCAAGTTAGCAACTTACTTCCAATGGGTCAGAAACAAATGTATTTATGTACAAGAGAAAAAGACATAACAAATGTGTCAAAATGTTTAACCTTCGGGGAGTCTGAGTGAAGAACATATGGAAATTTTTTGTATTATTTTTGTATCTTTAAAATTTGAAATCATGTAAAAGTTACAAAAATTTTTTTTCAAAGGGCAGAAGTGGGTTAGTTACAGTACTTCCTAAGATACAATGGATCTTTGTAGCCATCAACAGTATTAGCCAGGGTCCGCTGGAGAAACAGCATGACTATCGGGCTTTATTTTAAGGAACTATCTCATGTGCTTGTGGTGCAGGATGGAAATTTGGGGCCAGAGACCCAAGGAGGAGTTGCATTTGGAGTCCAAAGGCTGTGTGCTGGCAGAATTCCTTTCTGCTGGGGAGGGTGAGGGCCTCATTCTTTGCTCTATTAATGTCTTCAATTGATTAGAGGCCCCCACAAATTATGGAGGGAAGTCTGCTTTATGCAAATGTTCATCTCATTCTAGAAACACCCTCACAGAAACATCCAGAATAATATTTGACCTGGATTGAACTGGGCACCTTGGCCCAGCCAAAAGGACACACAAAATGAACCAAAATCGCCAGAGGAGAGACCAGACTGTCTTCTAAAAAAGTCATGGCACCTATACCAAGAACTTCTCAATCTCATAAAATGACTTAACTGCACCTTCCACTTGGTCAGCTGCCAAGGTAATCAGTAACAAAACCATCATCAGCTTCTAGCCAGAGAAAACAGCTTGGAGCTATCTCCTGTCAGGCAAGTTTGGCCCTGGGGAACAAGGTCAACTTCACACAGATTAGTGGCAGACACCAGAGCAACTGAGTGTGCACCAACAGCTAACTAAAACAAAATATCAGAAGTGGGGGTTGTAGGCAGCCCAGGCCTCAAATACCGTGCTGGATCAAGTTGCTGAACTCTGTAAGTGGAACTGCATTCATTATAATTACCTCACTAGGTATTTCACAGCGGCGGGCGCCCATGATAAAGCTGCTTCTCCTTGATCTACCATTCATACCATGAACATATGAGCAGGAGCCACAGCAAAGTGAGCACTCCACCACTGCAGGGTGTGGTTGTTCAGTTGTCCCCTTTGATCAGAATCTAATTTAAGAACCCATGGAAGAAATCTAGCACCTGCCTGTTCTAGAAGCTACTACAGATATCCCATGACTCCCAAAATCTGGCATGGTCTTCCATTTGCTTTGGCTGACCAGAACTTACATCTGCACTTTATGTCCTGACCTTGTAGCTGAATTCAACTGTGTTCCTACTGTTACTGTCTCTTCCCAGCTTTCCCTGTCTTCTATTAATTTGAGTCTTATCGTCCTTAAGCATTCTCAAATTCTTTCTGGACACGGTCGATGTCAATTCAAAATGGGAACATTTTATAGGAAACACAAGCTATAACTTTTAGAACGCGGAGGAAACTGAAAAATGGATTGCCTAGTACAACCTCCTCAGTTTAAAGATGAAAAAACTGAGGCCAAGAAAGGCTAAGAAATCCGCCCCAAACAGGGTCACCTTGGCTGAGTGGCAAAGCCAGGACCACAAACTCCTGGGCTCCTCTAAGCCACCCCTCATCATCCCAGGTCTTTCTTTCCCCCTCCTGACTTTAAAGTGGAGTCCAGAGAACAATTTCATCTCAAACTCCAACACTGCCATCATTTCAAGGGATCCTTCAACTATCTTCAGAACTAACCACTCTCAGTTTTAGCCAGTTTTTCTTTTTTTGACTTGCTGAATGTGAGGCAGGTTGCTTGAAAAATCTTCCTTTGAGCAGAAGAGATGTAATTGTTTCTTTAACTGTCATGAAACCACAGGCAGCTCTGGACTACACTGTATAATAAAAACAAATGTTTATATCAGAATAGGGGGGAAAAGATGTAAACTACCAATGCGGATAGCATTTATCTCAGTGGATAGTCTCTGGGAGGAGAGAATACAGTTAAATTTGTTTTCGTCTGACTTATCTACATGTTCTAGGGTTTCCACCAATAATCATAAGGACTTGTGTAATTGTTTAAGACAAAAATAAGAACTAAGTGCACTCTAGTTTGTTAACATAGATCATTAAATACTCAAGTCTGGAGTGTATACTTTCTGACCCATTGCTAGGCTGGGGTCTGTAGAATTTTTACTGGGAGTCCACCTCTCCTGGGGGGCTCACATCCAAGTTTCTGACCCATGACAAATAAACATGCAACTTTTATAGTCAGAGAAGAGGTCCAGCTGGTTTTCAAAAAGAATTAGCCAGGCAGTAGCATTTCAATTCCAACTTTCCATTTTTAAAAGGCCTTTGTATCTAGAACTAGCACACAAACAAGCTTCCAGTTACAGGCTGGATGGTTTCCTTAACAAGAAAGGCTTCTGCCTGTATCTTCCCTAGTAGACAATCAAAACTCAGACCTCTCACTGAGGTTAGGCAAACCTGTTTTGTAAGAGGGATTAATTCTGTTCATGAAAGGTCATTTCTATAACCTCTGAGTCCATCACTGCCCTCTTTAGGAGCTAATTATACAAGAGGACTCTAAAGAGAGCTCTAAAGTGTTGAGGTATCTCCTGGCCCTGCTCCAGGAACATGTCCTTGAAGGTGCGAAGTCATACCCTTGTCATCGACTACAGGGACAACACAAAACTAAACAAATCAGCTCAACAATCAGCAGGAAATTCTAAGGGGCCCACTGTCTCTTGGCCAGTTTCCCTGGCAAAATCTTTCTGAGCACTGTTGTGGTGGCCTGTTTTAGCCATTTGGTGCCACTTTTTTTCTGCACTGTTTTGTACACAAACTGTTTAGGAGTTTCAGTTGGTATTCCAAAGAATCTGTCTTTTCATTTTTCATATTTCCACTTTGGGAAAAAAAGAGAGTCCCACTCTTAGCAATTATTAAACTTTGTTTTTTGAGAACAGGCAGATTTATGAAACACAGGAGCAAGACAGGAGAGGTCTATTGCATCCACTAAACAATTTTTAAAGCCAATGAAAACACTCTAAAATACTATCAAAGTATTTTGCCCAGGTGCCTAGCAATATACAAATCAAATGTTTGCAAACTGGCTGTAGACCAGCAAGAGCCCTTTCCTTTCCAGTCTTCACTCTAAACTAGTATAGTAGAAAGGCCAAGATTCTCTATGGTCAAGAGAAAGGGCAAAAAGCAAGTCTAAAAGCAGAGGGGCTGTGATCTATCATGGTGAAGCCTATGATTTCCTATCAAATTGAAAACTACCAATGATCTCCGAGAAGCACATACACTGACCTGGAAAGTTGCTGAGAAAGTAATAAATGTTCTGAGTAAGACAGAAAGCTATAAAAAGTGTACCTATATTTAAGAATAAAATATCTGAAAGGGCAAACATCTACAATTTGATATAGTTAAGAGCAATGGATATGGCTACTTTGCTTTTGTTTATTGTGTATTTTTTCCCATAAATTTTTGCAAAATATAAGAAGTAACTGAAATAACATCCATGAGCGTTTAATCTATTCTTCAAGGAAGATGTGAGACTGTTACAGCCAAGAGTCTTTTGAGGGCTCTTTTCCTAAGGTTCTGACCCCTCCTACTTTAGCAAGCGTCTTAAATGATTCTCTCCTAATCACAGCCTGGCCAAAAAAGGCCCACAATTCCCTGCAGATGACTGTGCTCTTCCAAAACATAAAACTGCCCGGGCCTGGTTCCAGTCCCCCTTCTCCCACACTGCTGGTGCAAAAAAACAAAAGGTGGCGGACTCAGGAATGGAAGGAGGACGAAGCACTAGAGACTGCAGCTATCACAGAAGTGTACAGCTAGTTACAGGCCAGAAAACTCCGCTAGGATTCCAGGGCTCGGTACTGTGGGGACAGCAGACCCCTGCAAGACCCGGATCGTGGGGGAAGGGTCCTGAGGGTTTGGTCCTGAGAACAAGGTAAGCCCCCCCATTCCGCAACACATTCTGCCACTGACCACGAGAGACACCCCGAATCCAATCCAGAGGGCGGGACGGGAAGTTCGGGGCTCGGACGGTGTAGGCTGACCCCGGGTAAGGGGTACTGGGAAGCGGCGGGGCAGACAGGGGCCCCATCCGAGGCGATTCCCCTTGGCAGGAGGCCAGTGCAGGGACCGCTAAAGGGTTGCCGGGGTAGGCAGGAGGGTGGCTCCCACCGTTTAGGATACATTCCGCACGCACCAGCACTGCGTGCGTCTTTCCGGGCATCCCTTTGCTGTCACTTCACTGAAGCCCAGGCTGGAACGGTCAGGCACAAGTGCTGACCCTTTTCTGGGTAGTGCAGGGCGAGCGCCAGGACCACGGCCTCCCTTGCCTCCTCACCTTGGGGTCGCGCTCATAGTAGTGCTGCTGTGTGCGGATCCAGCGGCCCACCAGGTGGTCGCGCACCGTGTGCGCCAGCGCGAAGTAGTAGTCGCGGGGCGTGGCCACGTTGCGGTCCTTGACCAGCGTGAAGTGCAGGTGCCGGTTGAAGCTCTTCCGCACCTCGCCCACGTCGCCCAGCCCCGCGATCCCGCGCACGCTAATCTGCTTCCGCTTCTCGCTGTCCGTCAGCGGCTTCGCCATCGCGCGGGCCGAGGAGGGAGAGGACAGAGGGCGAAGAGACGCTGACACCGAAGATGCTACGACCGCTCTGGCGCCGAGGACAGCGGACTCTCCCGCTGGCAGGGCCCGCGCCTGCGCACTGTAGCGGGGAGGGCCGAACCGCGCCCCCGGGAGGGCGGGGCCGAGCCCCGGGAGGGGCGGGTCCTTCGGGGCGGGGCTCCGGGAGGCTTGTAATCCCGGGATTTGACCTGAGGCGTCGGGTTTTAGACAAAAGAAGCTGAAGTGACCTGCCCACTGCCACCCAAGAGCTGGGATTTCCCCTTTTTCGGCCAGGTCTGCACAGGAGGACTTGGGGGTCCTAGCCGATGGCTCTCATTACACTGCCTCAGTTCAGTTAGGGGAAAGAGTCCGCCTCCCAGGCTTTTAGGATTTGGGGGGCCAGTACCCCGGAGGATGCACCAAGTCGAGAGTGTCCTGCTGGAGAGCAGCTGAGGCTTGGTAAAGCTGAAGTGACCCAAAGAGTACATATTTGAAAGGCAGCCACCAGTGTGTGGTGGACCCAGTATCCTTATTTGGGGACAGGGATGACTCTGAAAATGCCCACTAAGGAAATAAAGCTCGGTTTACACTTAAAAAAATCCAGGCTGGGATGCCAAGCTCCTATGAACAAGAGACAACTCTCCCCAGGGCATGCTGTGCCCACAAGTGTCACCAGGACCCCTCCTCTGAGGGACCACCCCTTTCTTTCTGAGAACCTTTGTTCTTTAAAGCATGGGCCCTCAAATCCTTTATCCTTTAAACTGGGTCAGGGAGGACAACCCCTCACCCCCTGCAAGTTGGTTATATGGGTCACTGTGACAGAGACATGGTCCACACTTCCTCCACTCCTCCTCACATGTGAGCTTCAGATCAGGGGGTATGGACAGTCTCCCACATCTGCTTAAGGTTTTGGTTCCAAGGACCTGAGGTCAAAGGTTTACCCAGCCTTCTTTGCTGTGAGCCTGTGCTCTTGCACTTCCTGTGAAGTTCAGCTAGATAGCCCCACCTCCACCTTGTCCTTTTTTCTCAAAATGCCCCACAATTCCATCATGAGCATGTTCCTTAGTTGGGGTGACTCCGTAGATCTTATTTTGTGGGTTTGCTTCTTGTGGTTTTAGGCCTATGAGATGTAAAGGTTCCCTATACACAAAGGGTTAAAATCATCTGGAGGGGACTTCATGAAAATCCAGGTGCAGTAGATTTCCTGTTGTGATGCTTCCAAAATTCTCTTCTTACCTGGACCCCCTTCTAGCTGCAGATTTCTCAGGGAACAGCACATCCTGTATGCTCCACTTTTGCACATACACTTGCTCCAGCTCTTGACTTCACTCCTGCTTTAACTCTGCCTTCTGGATTTAAGCCCACAAGACAGAATGTCAGTTACTGATGATGGGGTTGGGAGGGTCACATTGTGCTACCCAGCTGGCTGAGGCTAAGACAGCAGCATTCTCTTGGAATGTTACCTGGCAATTCACAAGAAGAGTAGAAAGAACCCTGTTGTGCCCCTATGAAAAATTGTATCACTTTGGGACACAGATTTCAAAGAAAGCTTCAAAATACAAAAAACCAAGTTGCATAAAGATGTTTTCAACTGTGCTGTATGTTTACTTAAAATCTGGTGAAGGTTTAAGAGCTCAGATCTAGAGTGTGCTGTACCAGGGTTGAGAGAAAGCCTCACTGTGCTCAGTACCTGTACTAACTCAGTCCTCACAAACAGGTTATGTGCTAAAAGAAATGACAATTTTCATAGATTGGGAAGGTTTAAGAGATGATACAACAATGACAAATGATCATGTTGTTTAAATTTCTATTTCGCTTTCAATGTAAATGACATAACAACATATGGATACCATGTTGGAAACACAGGCTTATACCAAAACATAAGCACTAGTTATTTCTGAATAGCAAAAGTATTAAGGTAATTTACTATTTTTTGAACCTTTTCCTCTTTCTTGTTTATTCCCCCACAATCCGTCCTTCATAATTAGAATATAAGAAAAGTTGGAGTCCACAGACATATTAATGGTTGCTGACTTAAGGACGATGCAGTCTACTTACTGGAATTGACTTTCATTTCTTTCTTTGTTACTCCTGGTTAAATAAATTTAAGTCTTTTGTCCATTTGCCATAATTTTAATTCCTTTATGAAATTTTCTATGACTCCCCTACCCAAATGTAATTTTTCCACCAAGGACCCCCATTCCCCCTTCTCTATGGTGGTATTTGATACAGTCTTCAGAATGTTTGTGGTTGAAGCAGGCCCTTTCGCCTTTGTGTCTTTTCTTTTACCCCTGGCCTCTAATATCTCTGGAATGGAGAAGTGAACCCTAAGGTCATCTCAGCCGCTTTCTGCTAAATAATTCTTGGATAGCTATAAATGCTTTGAATAAAAGCAGGTTGAAAGGCTATTGATTGGGGTTACTGACTTGACACAGAACTGAGTGGATGAACCTGGAAGGACAGCAAATGCAAATGCCCTGAGGTGAATATCTACTTGGACAGTTCACAGAAGGAAAGTCCCATTCAGTGTAGGTTGCTTCCCATAGAGAGCAACTGAAGGTATCAGGAAATGCCACCAAAATGCCTTTCTGATACATGGATTTTTTTGAACTAAAGGCTATTGAGAAACAGCAGACGCAGGAAAAGCTCTAAAAACATGACACAAGTTTTTCTTTCATAAAAGAAATTTGCATTTATAAAGGATTTTTCCATTCCTTCTTCCAACTTAAGTCTGCCTGCAAAACCTTACTAAATTCTATTGTTTACCATACTTCTGGTCACCTTCCCATAACTTGCTTCCTCTCTCTACAAGCCCCAAGCCTTTGTTTTGGCTTAAGATAATCAAAAAGTCCATGTCTAATCTCATCTTTTTAAGTCACTTGAGTCAGGGTACTTCCTGTGTACATGGTGGTGCATGCGCTGACAAATTCATGTTTGCACTCTCTTGTCTTTGGCCAGTCTAATGTATAGAGCCTCAGACAGAGAACTTGAGATGTGAAGAGGAAAATATTTTATTTTACTCCCCTCCACAACCAACAGGTAGGTTCTGACTGGAGTTGGGGAGTCAGATGGAGGCATCAGGTCAGCTGTGGTGAGGAATCTCTCATCTTCAATTTTAACAACAAAATAGGATAAGGCTCTCCCTGGTGGTGCATTGGGTTAAATCACCGCACTATGAAGCTCTCTGAAGCCACTGCAGCACCAGTTTGATCCCCACCCAGAAGCTGACCCACATGGTGTGACAGACCTCTCCTGACCCACCCACGGCTCCCCTCAGCAGTGTACTTTGTCAGTCTGCTTGTTCTGCTCCCCACTCTGTGTCTGGTAAATCCTGTCACCCCCACAGCTCTGGCCTGTACCCTAGTTCTGTAAACATAAATAAATAAATCTTAAAAAGAAAGAAAGTGGGCTCAGCTCTGCCTCTTCCAGATGAAGGACTGTTCTGATGGCTCAGGCTCAGGGGTCAGGGGCACCTGCTTACTCAGGAGAAAGGTCTGAGGCACTCCAGCTGATAGGTTCCAGGTTGACTGATTCTCTATAATCTCTTTTCTTTTTTGGGAAATCATTTTCTAAAGTTCATTTATTAAAAAGTGATGGATATTGTTCCAGTTATTACAATAGTGAGCTTATTCTGTGTTATTGGAGTTAAGAAATGACCTTTAGAGCAGAACTCAGGTTACCAGAGGGAGAAGGGGGTACATGGCAATTGGTGGGGGTAGAAATTTTGGGACTTTGGTGGGGGACACGATGTGTGGCGTGTATCTAAAGAAGTGCATGTGTTGTAAGCCAGTGTGTTACTGGCAATGAAAATAAAATAACAAAATGGGTTAAGATTCTAGCTTAAACACTTTCTATTTATTCACTGTTATCTGCTGAGATTTGTTCCAGGACAAATTCCCAAAGTCAGCTTCTCCCTGGGTAACAGTCAGTTTCTCACCATGCTCAGGGTGGACCATGTTCTTGCTGGCACCTCCCCGCCTGTCTGTACTTCAGACTGCCTCAGCACCTGTTCCTCCTTCCCACAGCTGGGGTCACCTGGCTCTGACTTATGTGCTTGGGGGATGGCCCCATGCCTCTCTCAGGAGATCCCCTCTGGTGTGTCAGGCCATCTTCGGTCATGGTTCCAGTCTTGCCTTGCTGATGTCATCTCAGCCTCTGCAGCTGCTCCATCAGCAAGAGTCCTTGCAGGTTGTATAATTGCTCTGAAAACCTGGTGGTATTTCTGAAAAGTAAACCAACACTCATTTCTGACGCAGCAGTTCTACTACAAAGAAAATGCAAACAGAAATGAATGTATAAGCCAACCAAAAGGCAGGCACAAAAATGTTCCTAACAGCCTTGCTCAAACATGGCTAAAGAAACTGGTACATCCTCCCAGTCGAACATTCTGCTACCAGAAGGAATGATTCACCATGATAATGTAGCTCAGCTGTGAGGAGTGAAGCCTGCACTTGAGCAGGTCCTGCGTGAGTCATGAATGGAGACCAGCAATCCTCTAGGCATTAGACCCCAGTGGTGGTGGTGGAAGTTTGGGGAGAAGGGAAACAACTGGTGGGCCACACATTGTGTGGGTTCAGGAAAACTGTGTGGTGGGGTGGTGTGTGTGGTATAAAGGTTTGCCACGTGCACATACAGAAGCAACCTGTGTGGGGACACCTGTGGGTGTGGTCAACCCCGGGAGACGGGCTTCTACCACCTTCCTCCCTGGTTTATCCTGTTTCTTGCCACCCCTCACCCCCATATCGAATACAGCTCCCTATTTTCCTTTAGATCTGTGACTGTCTGCCTGGCACAGATCAGGTGCCAAAGACACTGAGGCCTGGGGTCCCTGACTTCTCCTCAGTACTCAAGACTTCTGTGTCAACAGTTGGTTATGCTCAGGGGAAGTCTGGGGCTCCAGCTGTTCTGCTCTCTGTGGTTTGGTTACCCCTTTATCCATCCTCAACTTTGCTTTGGGTGCTCTGGCTGGGATTCCTGTGGTAGTTTCCTCCTGGGCTTCCTGTCTCTAGGTGTTCCAGACCCATCCTACCCAAGTTGCAGACTGAACACTCCCTCCACGAAGGGCTGGGCCCATGACTGTCCCTGTAAGC